GTATTAATGGCTATCATTACATGATCATTGCATAATATACTAATTATCTACAAGCGTTTGGTTATGACGTTTTTTACACAACCATTTTTCTAGTATTTGAGTTATGTCATGAAAATAACTCTAGTGCTGTTATGGACTAGGTTATGAATTCATAACACAATTAGTGGTATTATAGACTAGGTTATGAATCTATAACACAACTATTTTTGGTGATTTGACAAATATCAAAGTTAAACCGGTGAAGGTAGAATGAAGGTAGACAACTACTAATAAATAAAAATAATTAAAAAAACATTCTTAATTTTTGCTTTGTAGATAAAACGTTGTACACTTGGCCAAACATAAAACTGGTACAGGCAATATATATTTTTCAAATTTGTCTAGTGTGAGTCAGGCTTAACAACAAAAAGTCTCTTCTGAAAAACTTAGATTAGACAGTTTTTCTCAACGTCAAAGTTGAATAAAAGTAAATGCAACATGTTTTTATGTTATGATTGGTTTAATTATGACACTGATTTGACTCTTTTCGTCATTATTGAGGTGATAAAGAAGGTCGATTTACACAATACAACACAATATGAAAATGCATACCAGTTTTATGATTGGCCAAGTGTACAGTCGTGAGCCTAAAAAGTGGAAACCCGACAGGTCTCGTCATTTTTCGCTATTTTGAGTAAATCAGTCTTTTCAATGGATTTTTTGTCAAATATGACAATACCTATCATTGCCGTAGGTACCTATAGCTAATGAGCTCGTTTTACAATAGGAAAAAGGGGGTGTCCCACTTTTTATGCTCACGACTGTACGTCACACGTGCTGCGTTTGATCATGACTACAAAACTCGTGTGATTAGAACGATTCGGTCTACGACCTCGTCATTCTTATCTTCCACACTCGTTGTTGTAATGATGTTCCTAAATGCACTTGTAATTTGAATAACTATTACGTAGACATCAACTATTAATGAAAACGAAAGCGTAGCTGGTTGACATTTCACAATGACAATAAATTAAATGAGGTTACATTCAACTTAAGTGAGGCTTACACTAACTTAGATTCTTAACAACCATAGCATCTAAATGGAAAGTTCTTTTCATTTTCCAATTTTGTTCCCTTAGATTAAAATGTGGCCTAAAGTTTCTTTTATATCCTAGAAACACCTCTGATATTTTGATTCATACTTACTTTATTTATTTAAGTAATTATTTTGTCTCTTTTCTTCCATCAGGAGTCTACTCTTATGCCCTTATGCACCGTTTCATCGTTAGGATAGTCTTAGCAAAGTTATTCCTAGAGTTGAGAAATAATTTTGAATGCACCGTCAACAAATTTTGGTTTCTTAGCTAAGAACCTGATAAAATTTACAACATTGCAATTTCTTGGTGACTTTTGATTTTTTGTCAATTTTTACAGTTCGAGTTTGACAGCTTTGGTTAGTTCGTTGATTGAAAATTTAAAAATTATTCACTTTCCGCGTATTTTTTAGTGTATGTATTTGTTATTTCGTGTTTATAGACCTATAAAATATTCTAGGCCGCTCTTTGTTTTATGTTTCTCGAGATGTTTTTTGAAGGCAAGGCTTGTTACAAATATGAATGATAGAAAACAGTCTGAATTTAATTTTTCACAAAACGAAAAACAACTGTTCATTTCCATTATAAGCAAATTTGCTAATATAATTGAAAATGAGAAGACAATACTTGCAAGACGGTGGGTTTTCTCACCCTGAATCGCCGAAAAAAAGACAAACCATCCATTGACTGGAAATAATTTTCTCCATTGAAAGTTAAAACTAAAAATTCTTGGAAACCCATCATCGAAAATGTCCGAAATATCAAAATCGTCTTCAACTAGCATGTCGAACTCCATTTTTTTGTATAGCAAAGGATGAAATATCTTGTTCGATAGTTGTTATGTTACACGACACTCATCAAACTCGTAAACAAACAATGTCAACAAACCTAACCGGTCCTAACCTAACCTCACAATCGCAATAAAGACAGATTTTTATTTCTTAAGTCGAGGATTTCGATGACTGAACTTTGAGAAGAACTTAATCAGATTTTATTGGCGGTGCATACGAAATTTAAAACTTGAGTTGAAAGGGAAACTAAGAATAGAAAAAAGTGAACGGTGCATACGGGCATTAATGAATTCTACTTATGGCGTTTTCCATTTGTTGCACGGAGGTGCACTGAGTGCAATTTTTATTTTCCATTTGACTGCACATTTTCAGTTTTCATTTTCCATTTGAAATTCAGTGCAATTATTTATGCACTCAGTGCGCATTTTTTGGCACGAGCTAGGAAGGCTCGTGGAGAGCCAGTGCAGTTTGTTTTGTTTTTGTTTATATGTACCGTACATAAAAATGTCTGCTAATTTCCAAAGAAAAAGTTGTTGCAGTTTTGGATTTGATATGTAGCAGCAGCGAAGTTGAATTCTATAATTCTCTGACGAAATTATATTATTTGAACGAATTCCGCAGCTTATCCACGTTGTTTTTAGATATATTATTATTGTTGTTTAAAAATATTGTCTGATGCGAAGTACCTACTTTAAATTATTTATAGATAGTCACTTTCTTCTAAATTTAACGGCGGGTGAAACCGCGGAGAAGAACTAGAAAAAGCTGTTATATTAAATAAATTATCTGGACCATCGAACTAAATATTTATTTTGTATGACTTCTTCTTCATTAACTCTACTCTAAAATTCATTTCAAATACATCAATTTTTTAAATAGTTTCTGTAGTTAACCCTAGAACCATAGAACGACAGCCCAGACTAAACTTATTAATATTACAATTAGGCTGTTCATTTGTACTGCTTTTCTTTTTTCAAGCAGATCTCATAAGCTGATCGGCGTTCACTTGTCCCATAACTCCCATATAATAAGCTCATAAACAGCAGCTCCTAGCAGATCTTCCTGATTTTGCGAGTAGGTAGCAAGTACAAATGAACAGCCTATACTATAAAACATGCAGAGCAGGAAACCAGAAACCGGCAAGTGCTAAACAAAAACAACAAACCAACATATGATTTTACATAACCCCAGAATCCGAGCCGACTCTGCATTTTTGCTTTCCATTTATACTGCACTGGTGCGCGTTTTTGACTGCACTAGAAAAATTCTCGTGCGCACTGAATGCTGCACTGAGATGACAAATGGAAAACGCCATTAGTGTCACTTTATTGGGTTCTTGACAATACAAAATGTCTATTGTTGTTGTCCACATTTTGATACGTATTAGGCATTGCAGTTAATAATCTGTGATTCTTGGATTCATCCACCACAATTCTTTAGTTCTAAAACTGTTTGCTCATACTCTACAAGAAAATCGTTTAAAGGACTTTTTCCATCATATCTTAATGTTCTGTTAGTGTTTTTTGTAAACTTACTTGGTTGACTATGCCCAGACTTCGTATATGTTCCACCTAATTCTTATAACATTTCCTTGGCATTAACCTTACCTTTCACCATCTCGAGTATATTATCAGCCAAACTATTGACTATGAAGTTACGAGCCTTGTCATTATCATCCTTTTTGAGCTTTACATATTCAGATGATTGCTCGTCATGCGCATCCTTTGTAGTGTTTCTAATATTCTTTTCACTATTATTGGCTTTGACAAGTCCAAACGAGGCTCCAAATCCTAATGAAGATTCTTCTGATTCTGAAGTAGAAAGTTTTGAATGTTCTGATGAGTCTTCAGCATCTGATATCTAATGTTACTGTCACCTATGCAGCTTATGCTATGCTTATTATTTCGTTTTTGTTCTGTTCTCACCTTTCTGTACGAAATATTTAAGAAAAAATTAAATTTGATTTTTTCCATATTTTGGTTTTTTTCAACACTCTCAGAAAAAAACCGGAAAAGCCGGGTTTTTTCCGGGCTATTAAAACACTAATCCTTTGTCAGCATCTCCAAAACTCCATTATGCTCGAGAAGCAACTTCCTTCTGAATTACCAATTAGAAAATCCTGTCTACACTTATTTCTTATCTTGATACTGGATAAGTTCCTCCCCACTTCTAATTGTAATCTCCTGTGTACAAGGTTTTTCAATTTACTTACACCCTTCTCAGCCTTTCCAGTCAGCTTTATCTGGGCCGGGCCCATAACCTCTGACTATCTACCTTCTTCTACACAGATCAAGAACCAAAAATGAACTATGGATTAACCAATTTGGTGTCCTCCCTCCAGCATTCAAAAAGCGTTTTCATTATAAACAATAAAACAATCAACAATAAATAACAACTGACGGTCGGTTTTTCAATAGTAGGTTGCCTTCGGGTTAAGCTAACTCCAGGGTAAACATTGCAATTTGACACGTTAACCCTGGAGTTAAAACCAACCCGAGGGTGACTCGCTATTGAGAAACCAGCCCTATTACTTATCACGATTATAGTCCGTCTATTTTAATCTGATACTCGAAAGGAATGTGAGCTGGTGGCACCCTACATTAGAACGCCAATGGTCACCTGACGTCATACCTGTTTTTGCCATATACTTCACCCCCTCGCTCCTTATACGGAAAGTGTCAGATTAAAAACGACGGACGGATAGGTAGTAATTCTTTTTTCTAAAACAAAAACTACATCACTATCAATCTTACCTAACTAGAACATAGTACCTTCAGAAAACTTACTCCGTTGGAATTGTTTACTCTAATAGAAATCCATGAGCACTTTTTTGTTTTTGGCTCCAACCAGTATATTTAATATATTTGTGAAATTGTATAAGAAAATGATAGGTATCATCTTAAAATGAACAGCTCGATGCCGATAGCGAATTATCCAACAAAATTTTTCATTTCCTGTTCCGCTATATTCACACCCAAGCTTCATCGCGGAAATAAATTAAATTCTTTTTATTATTCGTTTTTGTAGAAATTGGTGTAGTTTTGTGCCTTTTGAACAAACTGCGTTAATCTACTATTACCTACTTAAAATTAGGCCCGTTACAAATGCTTATTTTACATGTGTTTTTCTTTTTCAGAAACGAATTTGTTGATTGCCGAAGTCACGAAATCCCATCTTTGGATCTTACACCTTGGCAAGAATAATTTGTTTGTGTTTTTATTGTTAGATTCTATTTATGTTTGTTTTGAATTATTATTTATCAAATTTTGTTGATTTTATATACTTATTTAATAAAGTGTTTTATATTTACATTAAACTCTGGTTTATCATTTTCGATGAGCTAACATTTTTGGCTTAAGTATTGTCCGTCGTTTTCAATCTGACGCTTTCCGTATGAGGATGCATATGACAAAAACAGGTGTGACGTCAGATGACCATTGGCGTTCTAACGTAAGAAGCCACCAGCTCACATTTCTTTGGAGTATCAGAATAAAATCGACGGACAGTAAGTTCTCAGCAGGAAAACTTTCAGCAAAAACGTATAGTTTATCACTGGGTAAGTAAAGCAAATAAAATACATAATTTTGTATAAAGTTCTATTTTTTCTTTTTACTCAGTTTAATATATCAGTTAAGTTGAACAATAAGTAAAATATTTGTGCTACATAATTTTGTTTATTAATAGTTTTCACTGGTTTATTCTCCAAACTTTCCATAATTAAACAATAAATACGTTTTCGACAATAAACATTCTCAATTCCAGCCATATTTATTGAAAATGCTTATGAAGCCTTATAAATATAATAATTATTTACCTATTAATCAACTTCTTATGATTCAATAATAATTTAGAAATTATCGCTTTTTTAAACTTAATATATTATTTTTTTTACAAAATACCATTAAAACTAAAAATATTATAGGTAGAGCCGCATCATGGGGTAATTTCACTGTAGCTTTGTAGATCGTTTTTCCTGAAACAATAAATGCCATTCAAATACATTATTGCCTGAAAAAATAGTCCTTACCAGAAATTTCGGAACCTTAATAACATCAATGTTTCGTGGATTATCCATAGCCAAACGGTTGTTTTTGATAATTTGCCTGATTTTCTCCAACTCGTTGCCACTGCAAAATGATACAAAGTAATTTTGTCTTGCAAACACAATTTAGGAAGGTTGAAAGTTAGATTACGATGATTAAAGGTCTTCGAGTTAAATTTGAAGCTAACACGGAAGTTCTACTTAGTGTTTAGAACAAGGAAATTTTCTTCATCCTCTCATTGATTTATCAAATAAAACTTTAGTTGTTGTTCATCAACCCCTAAATGTGCAACCCTCTTAAAAGCTTTAATAAGATTATATAAGGTATAAATAATTTTTATATGAAACATCAACAAGAAAAACGACTTACCTCTTGATGTTCTCATTGTCAATATCCGTAAAAAGATCGTCAATTTCCGGTTTAGGTGCATTCAGATCGTTATTTGCGGCGTCCCTATAAAATCGAAAGTCCAAGGGACTGATAATTTTCGAAAGAAACCACTCGGCTTTGGCGGCTTCGTCACCGCTTGTTGCTTCGTTATCCATTCTTTGAGCTAGTGCTTCTTGGCTGCCACTCCTTTTCCCGTGGGCTGCGAAATGTTTAAGACTGTTTTTAGGCTGATATTTCTCTTGGGAGACAGGTTTTAGGATAAAGATTTAAAATAGGTTTATATCGGCTGTGATATCTAATACAAAATGGAACAAGTTAACATATTTTTGCTAAAGCAAATAATTCATTCTCCTAAAGAACTCCGGTCTGTAATCTTTACGAGTTTGAGCTTTATTTGATTTCCATCTCCCAAATCGGAAGTCTCAACCATTCATTTATTCCAATGTCGACCGTAAAACAAAGGTTAAAGACCAACCCCAATCAGGAGAAGGGTGATGGAAGATGGTCACGAGAATCTGAAAAAATAAGCTGAGAATGAATATGGAGAAAACGAAGTCATCAGACAAAGAATCATCATTATTGAAAACCACTTTTCTCACAAAAAGTCAGGAAATTTATCTATCTAGGACAGATACTCAAACTTGATCAAAGTAACCAAACAGCAAAAACTGAACAAAGAACGAAGTTGATGACTGATCAGTTGCCAAGAGCATCAGGAAAAATAAGCTGAGAATGATTATGGAGAAAATGAAGTGCTGATAAATGACGATAAAGAATCATCATTATTGAAAACCACTTTTCTCACAAAAAGTCAGGAAATTTATCTATCTAGGACAGATATTGAAACTTGATCAAAGTAACCAAACAGCAGAAACTGAACAAAGAATTGAGTTGATGACTGATCAGTTGGCGAGAGCATTGGGAAAAATAAGCTGATAATGATTATGGAGAAAACGAAGTGATGACAAATGACGATAAAAAATCATCATTATTGAAAACCTCTTTTCTCGCAAAAACTCAGGAAATTCATCGATCTAGCATAGATACTGAAACTTGATCAAAGTAACCAAACAGCAAACAGCAAAAACTGAATAAAGAATGAAGTTGATGACTGATTAGTTGACAAGAGCATCGAGAGAAATAAGTTGAGGATAATTATGGAGATAACGAAGTGATGACAAATGACGATAAAAAATCATCATTATTGAAAACCCAGCTTTTATCGCAAAAAGTCAGGAAATTCATCTATGAAGGACAGATACTGAAACTTGATCAAAGTAACCAAACAGCAGAAACTGAACAAAGAATGAAGTTATGAATCCTTAGAAAAAAGATTTCAATTTATGGTTGTCTGACTTTTGACATGATGATACTATTGTGATAGGTAATTCCTTTTCGTAGAAATATTGATTTTTATAACTCTAGAACATTCTAAATTCTCAAACAGTTATAGATAGAATTTTTATTTCAGAATTATTGGCTAACTATTTTCTTACCTCCCCAGCAGGCGTGGCCGTAGCTTAGACAGGAACCTGCAACAAATTATAAATATTTCATTAGGTGTTTCATCTAAAAATATAGTCCATGTGTTGCATTAAAATTTCTGCGCCAGTAATCAAGTGAAACTTTTCTATATACTACTTCACATACACAGTAATATAGGTACTGATTTTGCTACTGATATAAGAAGTAAAGTGGAGTAATAATCACTCGCTTTAGGTGAATCAGGACAAGACCGAAGTCGTACCAAAGTGGAAAAACGTGGACCTCGAAGGGCTCACGTTCTTTGGCAGGGACGTAGCAACAGGGCGTGCAAGTCGTGCCGCGCACAAGGATCCGGGCCCCGAAGGGTTCCGGCGTGTCCTGAGTTCTGCCGCTTTTTGGAAACAACATAAAAGAAAAAAAATAAATAAAAATACGCTCGCCCAAGCAATATTCGCTTCGGCGATTTTAAACCGAACTTTTTTTTCGGCCGGAAAGAACCTATGTTCTGCGGGTGACGTCACCACTATTGGTTGCTGATAGTGGTGACGTCACACGCAGAAGTCCGGCCTATCTTCCTAGTAAAGGACCAATTTATCAGTGGACAGTTATTTAGTTCAGCTGTCGGTTGACCAATAATAAGTATAAGTTTATCGACAGCTAAACTAAAGTTGGAAAGTGTTTTTCCAGACTTTTTTAACCCATTGCTGGTAAACTCTCGGCCTCTTCGAGGGTTGGCATTACTTATGCAACGTTGCCAACTCACTTTTGTCGTTTTTTTGACATTTTCTGCTCATAATCTTACTTTTTTTTTTGTTTTTTATCCGTTTCCGATGTGGAAAATTCGGTTACGTGTATTTTGTGGAAAAATCTGTTATTTTGTTTTGAATGTCTAAAATAAAAATACAAAACAACCATAGAGCGATTTGACGTTCTCTCAATTCAATATGGCGCCGTGGGAATAACGCACCTGACAACCGTAAAGGCACGTTAACATTTAATTCCCCATTGGAGCAGTAATTCCCATTCAAATTGCAATCAATGGGAATTGAATTTAAAGGCACCTACGCGTTTTTCATGCCCACGTCGCCATTTTAAATTATCCGCTGATTCGTATTGCCTAATTGGAAATTTGAGGCCCATGCTCGATTTATTCTAGAACAAATTAAATGGTTTCAATTTCCTCCATGTCTTCACAATGTCAAAATTTAAGCCAAAAACATCCCTTTTCAAAAAAATGCAGATAAAAAATAACAGAAAATTTTGAGGTTATTCCAGGGTCAAATTAGGCTCTCCAAACCACGTGATTTTTCAATATGGCGACTAAGGAAAATTTGATGTTTGTTTGTTTATTTTGAGATTATTTGGAATATTTTCGAGCTAATTACAGTTTATTTTGTTATAATATACTTTATGTCATACCAATACATTATTGTGTTTTTATACCTTAGATACCATCTACATAATTCATTACTTTATGCCCGTGCGGGCATAAAGTACACATCATGGCCCGCGCGGGCATAAAGACGCAAAACACAGTTTTCAATTAACTTATTCTTTATTAACAAAATATAAATTTACGCTGATAAACATATTATTTTTGTCAAAAAATTATGATGTTTGCACGTGGTTTGCACCCTGATGACAACTTGCGAAGTGACACTTTTTTCCCAGATATTTATTATTCACAACCAACTGGTATGACATAAAAGTTTGTATGCACCACGGGTACTATTAGATATATATACCCTCAGGCGACTTACGAACCCTCGGGCCAGAGGCCCTCGGCTTTGTAAGACTGTCGCCCTCAGGGCATAATCATCTACTTAGTACCCTTGATACATAAATAACTGTTTTGAGATGCAGAGTGAATATTCAAAGACTTTAATGCAGGAAAATCGGGATGTGGGCGAACGATAAGTTTGAAAAAATGTCTAGTTGACATTTGTTTACATTTTGACCTAGTTTTTACAGCAATGAGCAAATGAAGGCCTACAAAAGCTTAGATTCATACAAGTATTTCGAGTATGGCTTCATTTTAGATGCAGGATCAGTGATACTGAATAATTTTTACGTTTCAATTGGAAAAATTTGAAAGGTTTGGCATTGAAAACAACCTGACGTCGTCCTTGTTGAAACGCCTTCTAAAATCAACTACAAGACACTTCTGTGGCATTTTTGATTAGAAAAAAGCCTTATGAAGTCAATAAAATTAAAAAATAAATAAGGTTTAGTCACAAAACAACCAAAAAAAGCTTTAAATTCTCATACGAAATGAGGAACTTCCGCCACGGTGGCCATTTTGGAATAGTTTTGATAGGTCGTTGGAATGCCTAATACGCTAACTTGTCATGAGAGCGCAGGTCAACTTTTTCCTGGAATAACTTTCAAGTTAGCAGTTGACCCTTAAATGGATAAACACTTGTTACAACTTTGACCCAGGGTTATCCCTAACTGATGGGGTAACCCTCTATTAATAAACCGGCCCTAAATCGACTGTGTCAACAATTTCTAGGGCCTACTTTGATGGTGTAGCTCTTTTTTCTTGACACTTAAGATTTCTATAAATTAAAGGCCGGCTTACATTTCGATTAGTAATGTAGTGCTAGTGTTTATATGCCAAATTGTAAACGGATCTATTGAGTGATTAGTGTTAAGTGATAAGTGCAAGCTACAAGTGCAAGTAAATCAAATCTTGTCCTATTTTTCTGTTCAGTAACACTCAACAAGTCAAATTAACATTTGACACTAAACGCTTTGACCCTAAACACTTAAAACAGGTTTGAAACAGTATATTCTCGCGATGAAGCAATGACGTCACATCAAAATTGGTTTAAACCGTTTCGAAATACAATCAAATCCACGTTTTTAAACCATTTTCTCGTGCCGAAAAATTATGACGTCATGTGACAATATTTAGGTTTCGATAAGTCACTGTTTTACCTGTCAATGAATTCCAGAGCCTACTTTGATGGTCTGTAGTTCTTCTTTTTTTTTTGAACGCTACAGAATTCTATTAGTTAAGATTTATTGAATTTTATAATATGGAAAATGGTAAAGTTTTCGATACGTCACTGTTTAACAGTCTACATCGACTGCCAACAATTTCCAAAGCCTACTTTGATGGTGTGTATATGTCTTCTTTTTTCTGAAATGAAAAATTCTTCGGTGAATGAAATTGAGCCGTCACGACCGAATTTTTAACGCTCATTCAGTCGGAAACAGCCGACTCGAGTCGAGTTCAGCCAAGCGAGAGGGAGAAACAGTCAGCACTGTCAGCAGTGCGAGTAAGAGAGAGATAGTGCGATTGGAATTCAATCGCGACTCTCTAGAACAAATTTCGGCGACGTTTCCGATATCATTGGGAAACTGGTGAAAGGTTGTTAGGTAATAGCAAATAGATGACGTCATCGGACGGTTCTTATGGAGATTTGCATTATGTTTAGGCATACAGATAACGTCATAAAAGTTATCAGGCAACGCAAGGTTCCTAAAGTTAAGGTTGTCTGGTAATGGGTAACTTGATGACATATCTGGGGTGCCTTATGGAGATTTATTTGCATTATGTTGAGGCACCCTAGATGATGTCATAAACTTATCAGGCAAGCTTACTTTTTCATACAACCATGCAGGCAACCTCGCTCCTTCAAACATCCTTGATCCAAATCACAAATGCCAAGATTCAATATGGCGGCAACGGTCAAGCTGTAAGCATCTGTCATTTTGATTTATTTAACCTACGTTTTCAGTTGTTTTGATTTTTGAAGTGTTCACTTCTATCGTGTGGTCTTCAGCACAAACCGTAATTTTTTTGAAATGAAACCTCTTAGGCGTCACAGGCAAATTTCGTTACTCGAGAGAGAAGAAAAATATGACGTAAAGAGACGGAGAAAGACAGCTATTGATTGACACAAATCAAGGATTATACGCGCAAAGAGGATTGCCTATTGTAGTCAAGCGCCGATACCGTAATCTGGGGCTACTTGGTCACCTTTTTCGGACTTTTTTTGGATTTCCTCTTTTACGTTTGATGGAATTTGGACCAAAATTTAAAATGAAACAGAAACCAACTTCGAAAACCCAGAAGATAATTCTAAAAATCTTTAACATAGAAAAAACTTAAACTAAATCATAAACTTAAATTTAAAAAATGGATCTTAGTCACTTGGCACAAAATCTTTGTCCGCATCAGAATCATCCTGATATTCCATCGGCTCCGCTTCTGAATCATCACAATAATCACATGTATAATAAGAGTATTTACTTTCCTTGTTGCAAGGGCCACAGATCCATTTAAGGCACTGAATATATTTGATCCATTCTTTTCTCCCCTGATAGTTTTTCCAATTGCAACGACAAATACCACACTTTGTATTTGCTTCACCTTCCTTTTGTCTCTTACATTTTTCTGTAGGTAAAATTGAAACGCATCTCTTCTGTCTTTTTTTCTCTCCGACTATACCAGAACATCCTGGGAATTCTTCAAATTCTAAGGCTTTAGTTGTGGAAGATTTAATAGTTTCATTAGGATCTACAAGGTCTAAAGGGACAGTTGCAACATCTGTAGATGCAACTTCATTGACATCATGTATGGCCAAGTTTTTACCCGCTATAACTTTTTTTCCTCTTTTTTTAGGATTGGCACCACTCCCAATTCCTCTTTGTTCCTTTAAGAGATCAACTAATGACGCATCGAGATTTCTTCCGATGCCGTCTTTATCATTGGTGCCTATTAATCCATCTGGAATCTTCTTCAAAACCTCGTTAGGTTTTAGTGAAAAAAGCCCAGTAGCTTTAAATCCAGATATCAAATTTTGGCTCACATTCTCAGATATGCCATTCCATAACCTAGAGAGCAAATTTGGAAATTGTTCTTTGGGAAGATTTCCTGGATATCGGCTTTACTTTCTTCATTTGTCTAGAATCTTTCTCTAGCACTTTTTCATGGGACCAAATAAATCCACATCAAGTGGCTGCATTAGATGGGATGGGTGGCATTTGCAGGGAATGGAGTTAAATAAATACCATGCTCCTTACAGGACTGGATTAC